AATAAATGGGTCTACCGGGTCAAGCAGGAGAGTGATGGAAGTAAGAGATTCAAGGCCAGATTAGTCGTGAAGGGGTTTCAACAGCGGGAAGGAGTAGACTACACGGAGATATTTTCCCCTGTTGTGAAACTCACAACCATCAGAGTTGTGTTGAGTTTGGTAGCTGCAGAGGACCTCTTCCTTGAGCAGTTAGATGTGAAGACTGTCTTTCTTCATGGTGACTTGGATGAAGAAATCTACATGAAGCAGCCTGTTGGCTTCATTGAAGAAGGAAAGGAAGAGATGGTGTGCAAGCTCAAGAAGAGCTTATATGGTTTGAAACAGGCTCCGAGACAGTGGTATAAGAAGTTTGATAATTTCATGCAGAACAATGGCTACAGAAGATGCAATTCGGATCATTGCTGTTATTTCAAAAGGTTCGAGTCCAGCTTCATTATTTTGTTATTATATGTTGATGACATGTTGGTAGCAGGACCATGTTTAGAAGAGATAAACAGTTTGAAGAGGCAGCTAGCAAAGGAATTTATAATGAAGGATCTGGGTGCAGCGAAGCAGATTCTAGGTATGCGAATCAGTAGGGATGAAGCTGAAGGGACATTGAGATTGAGCCAAGCAGAATACATTGAGAAGGTACTTCAGAGGTTCAACATGCAGAATGCTAAAGTTGTTAGCACACCCTTTGGATGTCAGTTCAAGCTATCTGAGGAGCAATCGCCTAAGACAGATACAGATAGAGAGCATATGAGCAGGGTGCCATATTCTTCGGCCATTGGGAGTCTCATGTACGCGATGGTTTGCACGAGGCCAGACATCGCCCATGCAGTGGGAGTTGCGTGAAGTGGATAATACGGTACTTGAGAGGGACAACAAACAAACCACTATGTTTCAGGAGGAAGGAATTGGTACTGTAAGGATACGTGGATGCGGACTTCGCCGGTGATCATGATACGAGGCGAAGCACCACGGGGTATGTTTACACCTTAGCGTCGACAGCAGTGAGCTTGGTCTCACGTCTGCAGAAGATTGTGACTTTATCAACAACTGAGGCTGAGTATGTCGCGGTGACTGAAGCAAGTAAGGAGATGATCTGGTTGAACGGGTGCTTGAAAGAGTTGGACCTGAAGCAAGGGAGAGGAGTTCTTTATTGTGATAGCCAGAGCGCTATACATCTTGCCAAGAATCCAGTATATCATGCCAGAACGAAGCATATCGACGTCAAATACCATTTTATATGCTCGCTAGTTGAGGACGGAAAGTTGCATTTAATGAAGATTTTGGGGAGTTAAAATCCGGCGGACATGTTGACGAAGGTAGTCACCATTGAGAAACTGGAGTTGTGCGCAACTTCAGTTGGCCTTCACGAGTAGAAGACGAAGACGGAGCCACACTACGAGGATCGGCGAGATCGCCGGGATATTGTTGATTGAAAGAAGAATTTATTCGGTGAAAATGATACATGCGAAGAAGGGGAGAGTTCGGGGGAACTCATTGCAGGCACTTTGGTCTCCAAGTGGGAGATTGTTAGTCTAAGGTGTAGACCCAAAGTTCGAGAAAAGAGCTGAAATCAAAAGGACAAGAAAACGAGCAGACAGATCCACGGTCGACCGGGTCGGTCGACCGCGAACGTGCACAGGAGCTGGGAGAGCCTGGATCAGGTCGCGGTCGACCGACCCGGTCGACCGCCAAAACCCTGTAGGAAAATCTGGTCTCGGGTTTTGATTGCGGTCGACCGCGCCGGTCGACCGCCAAACTCTCTGGAATCTGATCGGTCGACCGGGCCGGTCGACCGCGACGCAGTCAAACAGAATCCTGTTCTGTTTAGGAATCTGTTTCACCCAGGATTCTATATATACCCCAAACGATTTTAGGGTTTGAACAACATCAAAAAGAGAGCTTTTTGACTGCAAAGAGAGAGAGAATCTCAGAGAGATTAATCCCTTGTTTGAGAGCTTGTATTTTCTTCTTCAATTAATAAAGAGATTGTGTGGTGTGGCTCCCGAGGACGTAGGCACGTTGCCGAACTTCGTTAAATCTGTGTGTTCATCTTCTTTACTGTTTTTTGCTAGTTAGATCTTTATTTGTGGTTTTATTCCTACTTTCCTACTTTCAACACAAGGTCCGGAAGGGCAAGGGTTCGATTGATTGTTTTGAATCCCCAACAGAAGTATCATATTTTGAAAAGAAAAAAAAAGCACGAAAAAAGTATTAAAATGGCAACTCTGGAAATATCAAAAAGTTACATCTTTTAAGAGTAAATTGGAAACCAAAAGTGACAGGCCAAAAGACTTCCAACTCCCGCTTATCTTTTTGATACAGTACGGACAATAGAGTTGGCAAAATAAGTTAAAGTCCTAGTATCACAAACTATGCAATAATATATTCATCAAAATTGACACTAAGAATTTCTGCAAATAATGGAACACTTTGAAGTTATCTATTTGAGCTAATTGAGAGGCTGAATACAAATTTATATATTAATCGAAAAACTAAGTGGTTTGTTAACTTTTACAGTAATGAAAAATAAATAATCTGAATATTGATTCCCAATACAACCTAAGAAAAATACTTTGCTTACTTCCTTCAGCTCTTATCAATCGTTTACATACTACAAGACTGGTCTGAATTCTGTTCAGACAAGTCCATTCAAGCAACTGCTAGACTTTTATGAGGCTTCAGTTTTCCTACGGTTTGTTGGATCATTTGGAAAGCTAGGAATAACTTCATCTTCTCTAATCAGTCTTCTACGCCGCAGCATATCATCAACAAGGCGGTTCACTTTCTTCTTTTCTAGACAGGTGCCTCCTCTTCCAAGAAAGCTAGTAAGTTAAACAAGCTTATCTTCAGCTCGGGGCTCCCTGATATTGCGGAATCAAGTGTAGACAACAATGGTCTTCCTAGTCCTCATGGGTAGTGGCCTCTTTGTTAGCAGTTCTTTTTTTTTTCTCAGTCCCAAATACCAGGGTTCTTGTTGTAGACTGGTTATACACTGTGTTTTTGTTGTTTCTGCTAGATGTTTTGTTTTGTTCTCTTCACAGAGACATCTTTTGGTGATTTGGTCTAATACCCTCAAACTCGGAGTCTCGGGCCAAATCACAATCAGATATCTTTTGTAACAACTCTCTTTTTGAATTATATATACATGATAGGGCAGTATGCCCTATTTTCGTTCAAAAAAAAAAAAAAAGACTGGTCTGAATTTAGACATGGCCTGCAGATATAAAAGGTATTGATCAGTATCTAATTACCGAAAACCCAATTTTTTTAAATGATGCATAATCAACAGAAACTGAGATCTTTTTGAATTATGTATTAGAAAACATCGAAGAAAAGGATGTAAAGATCTCATAAAGGAGCCAAGCTTTTGAATCTAAGTCATGCGATAGTTTTCAATTAACAAAAGAAGAAACCATTGGTGACGCAAGCTCAGTTTGATGGCAATCTAAACAATAATATGACAAATTACCTAACTAGACACCTTTCAAAAAGACCATGCATAAGTTCCTAGCTTCAATTCCTTAATACAACTTAAAAAAAAAAACCCCTTTTCCTTTCTTCAAGCGGCCTTCTACTAATAGTAAGTTTGAAATATGAGGCAAGAAATGATTTGCAATAAAATTGATAATCTAAAAGTAGTATGATGGATGCTTTTTCTTGAATAATGATGATGTAAGTCGCCGCATTTTATTAATGGGAAAAATGCTTCCAGCCCCCAAAACATAACAAAAAGTGCTCCCCCAAGACTTTTTTAACGGGTGTTTTGCCCCTAAAATCGCCCGCGACTTTACCCCCAAAACCGCTCGCGATTTTCTTCCAGCCCCCAAAACGAATCCCCATGCGTAACTCCGTTTAAACCTCGCTCGAAATGCCCAAAATACCCTTCGCAGCCTGTGTTCGTCGCCCTCTCACGACGGAAACCCAGCGTTTCGACTGTAGGCATTAAATGGTGATTAGAATGACTTTTTTGGGGGGAAAATTCTCATTTTCCTCCAAAATTATCACCAGATATATTCCCCTTCCAGCTAAAATCGCTGAGTTCCTCCCCATTCTATTACCCCAACTAATTTGTTTCTTCCACTTAATTCTCCTCAATAAAAGCCTCTTCGATTCTTCAACTACTCCCTGTAATAAAATAGCGGATGGATCTCTTCTATGCGTGGTAACGAAGGCAAAAAGCAACAAAGGTGGTGACGGTGTATTCGTCGTTATCAAAGAGAATACAGAAATAATCAGCTTGAGATATCGAGTGGCGGAAAGGCTTAAAATACCAATGCAATCTCTTTCACTGAAGTTCATATGCGAAAGGGAAAAGAAATTCAGTATTTCAATTGACAATGACGACGACTTAAATTTGATGTTCGAGTATTGTCGGCGTAATAGATTTACAGACGCGAATTTGTATGCTACCTCCGCTGGGGAATCCTCAACTTCACAGAACACGCGGACTACGTCGGAAACTGCGTAGGAATTACACTCCAGATTTCCTTTTGAGTTCACTGATAGGTTTTTCCATTAGTTGTTAACCTCATGCATTGGTTGCTTAGGTAATGTGTTGGTTGTCAAGGTTATGTTAAGCACTGGTTGTTAAGGTTATTTGTTGGCTGTTACGTATACTAGTTGGTTACTAAGATAAGGTGTTTGATGTTAAGTATATGCGTTTGTTGTTAAGGTCACGAGTCTGCCCTTAAGTATAAGGGTTACTTGTTAAGGATATGTGTTGGCTGTTACGTTTATGTGTTCGTTGTTAAGGTTATCAGTTCGTTGCTAAGGCTATGTATTTTTATTACTACTTCAGGACAATACCGACAGAAAATTCACGGTGCGCAGATACCACACGTTTATGAGTTCGTTGTTAAGGTTATCAGTTCGTTGCTAAGGCTATGTATTTTTATTACTACTTCAGGACAATACCGACAGAAAATTCGCGGTGCGCAGATACCCCGTTCACCCAAACCTGTAATGATGAGCGTATTCCTAATGACAACCCCACCGACGACTCGATCATGCTGCTGGAAGACATGCTTAATTACCAAACAAAGATCCCAACTGAGTGGCACACCTCCATACGTGAAGTTGCTCAGAAATTTGATAGTGCTGCTGAAGTTAGATTAGCACTTCAATACTATTCAATTGCTAAATGGTTCGAGTATGATTTTTACCACAATGAACAAAGACGCATAAGAGTCTATTGCCGATTCAAGCACACACATGGTTGCCCTTGGATATTGTTTGCTTCCCCGCTCAGAAATTCGTCTATCATGTCCACAAAGAATTTCGAGTCTACCCACACCTACGGTCAACATGGAGCAAATGCTGGCAACTCAAGGGCATTAAGGAAGTTCATTGCTAGCCAAATACAAGCTATTTTGGAGGTTAGGCCAAATCTTCGTGTGGTCGATATCAAGAACGACATGCTCTCTAATTTTGGCATCAATATTAACTACAGTAAAGCGTGGTAGAGCAAGGAGATAGCTCAACAGGACCTGTTCGGTGACGATGATGAGGCTTACGATTCACTTAGATGGTCCTTATCTTTTTTATTCTTCTGAAATCACTCTTACGTTTGGATTGCTAACTATACGTAGTAGTTGTTAAAGTTGTTGGTTCGACGTTAAGTATACGGGCTGGTTGTGAAGTTTGAAGATCAGTTGTTATGGTTATGAATCCGTTGCTAAATCTACTGCTTACGCTTTCGTTGCTAACTATACGTATTAGTTGTTAAAGTTATTGGTTCGTCGCTAAGTGTACGTGTTGGTTGTGAAGTTTGAAGATCAGTTGTTATGGTTATGAATCCTTTGCTAAATCTACTGCTTACGTTTTGGTTGCTAACTATACGTATTAGTTGTCCTTTGCTAAATCTACTGCTTACGTTTTGGTTGCTAACTATACGTATTAGTTGTTAAAGTTATTGGTTTGTCGCTAAGTGTACGTGTTGGTCGTGAAGTTTGAAGATCATTTGTTATGGTTATGAATCCTTCGCTAAATGTACTTCTTTGTTGTTATATTCATGCAGGTATGAATCTATGGTGCATGCAACTAATCCAGTGAGTCGTGTTGTTATTGATGCTGATGACGGTAGGTTCAGGCGATTGTTCATTAGTTATAATGCCTGTATTAAAGGATTCATTGCTGGGTGTAGGCCTCTATTGTTTTTGGATGGAACATTTATTAAAGATCGTTACAGAGGCATACTACTTAGCGCTACTGGGTATGACGGCAACCAGGGAATATTTCCCCTTGCTTATTGCATATGCGACCAAGAGAATGAGGTTAACTGAAAATGGTTCTTACAAGGATTATGGATGTTACTGTATGATAGGAAAAATCCTTACCAACCTCCACATCGACTGGTAATGATTTCAGACGCCGACAAGGGTATCAGGGCAGCAGTCGAGGAATTCTTTCCAGATGCTTTCCATTCAATGTGTGTTCTGCATCTAGTCGAGAATTTCAAAAAGAAGATGAAGGATTTTAGGCACAAGGCAAATGTCGCGACTACGTTGGGCGAGCTATTACAATCTGCGGCTTATAAGTTCACAATATCTGAATGGGATAATGACAACGACTACGTTGGGCGAGCTATTACAATCTGCGGCTTATAAGTTCACAATATCTGAATGGGATAATGACATGAAAGAATTGGCAGCGATCGATCACAGGGCTTACGTCACTGTAATGGAATACTTCCCGGAGAGATGGGCAAACGCGCATTTTCCTAGTATAAGGTAAGATAGCTTGGTCCCAACGTTATTTTGTTACAGCACCATTATAGTTGTTTAGGTTAGAGCTATCCTACAGTTTTCTGTTAAGGTTAGATTTTTATTGTTATGGTTAGAGTTATTCTGCTAGGGTTTTGTTGTTAAGTTTAGGATATTTGTTGTTAAGGTTAGGCCTTTAATGTTTAGTTTATGGTTTTATTGTTAATGTTAGTGTTTTGTTGTTAAGGTATGGCCATGTTACTTCAAACGTTGCTGGGTCCTTCAACAGCTGGATAAGAAAGGCACGATTGTTGCGAATCTTACCTTTGGTTGAGACCATACGGAAGCAAATAATGGAGCGCATGCATGAAAAGAGGCTAGTCGGTCAGAAATGGTCTGGATACTTATGCCCGGAAGCGGAGATGGTGCTGTGTGATAATATTCAGCATGGTAGCTGCTTGGCGATTAAACATTCGACGGAAGATATTGTGAAGGTTGAGTCCAATAAAACTTGCCGTGTAGATTTAAAGAATCGGACTTGTTCTTACAGGTCCTGGGACATCACCCGCATTCCTTGCAAACATCCGTGCGCTGCAATTACATGGATGAGATGAGAAATTTATCAATATTGCGATTGGTACATGACTGTTGACGCATTCAGAGCAAGTTATGCACCGATCATCTTTCCCATCCCAGATTACGAGAAGCGCTTTGTACCGCCAGAAGAGTGAGTGTTGAAGCCTCCTCTCACCAAAAAAAGACATGGCAGACCATACACAAGACGAATAAGCAACAGGTCGGTGAACACCCAACCTGTTAAGTGCTCTCGATGCAACATGAAGGGTCACAATCGTGCAAGCTGTAACGAGCCTATATAGTTTAGCGTTTTATTGTCATGTATATGGATTTGTTGTCCTGTATATCATTACAAGTGAGAAGGTCATAGCTTGGCTGTTAAGGTTATTACTTGGTTGTCAAGTTTATCACTTTAATTTTGAAGTTTTAACTTGGTTGTTAAGGTTATTATTTGGTTGTCAAGTTTATCACTTTAATGTTGAAGTTTTGACTTGGTTGTTAAGCTTATTATTTGGTTGTCAAGTTTATCACTTTAATGTTGAAGTTTTGACTTGGTTGTTAAGGTTATTATTTGGTTGTCAAATTTATTACTTTAATGTTGAAGTTTTTGATTGGTTGATATGTTTATCGATTGAATGTTAAGTTTACTGTTATCCACCTGTTATCCACCTGCTCTTTGTTGTTAGTATCACCGATTGTTAAAATTGTCAAGTATAACGTTAAAATTGTTAAGTTTTATGGCTTGGCTGTTAAGGTTATTACTTGGTTTTCAATTTTATCACTTTAATGTTGAAGTTTTGGCTTGGTTGTTAAGGTTATTACTTGGTTGTCAAGTTTATCACTTTAATGTTAAAGTTTTGACTTGGTTGTTAAGGTTATTATTTGGTTGTCAAGTTTATCACTTTAATGTTGAAGTTTTGACTTGGTTGTTAAGGTTATTACTTGGTTATTAAATTTATCATTTAATATTGAAGTTTTTGATTGGTTGATATGTTTATCGATTGAATGTTAAGTTTACTATTATACACCTGTTATCCACCTGCTCTTTGTTGTCAGTATCACCGATTGTTAAAATTGTCAAGTATATCATTAAAATTTTTAAGTTTTATGGCTTGGCTGTTAAGATTATTACTTGGTTTTTAATTTTATCACTTTAATGTTGAAGTTTTGGCTTGGTTGTTAAGGTTATTACTTGGTTGTCAGTTTTATTTGTTTGTTGTTAAGGTTACTATTATTCACTTGCAATTGGATGTCAAGGTTACCGAGATATTTTTGATTTGACTGCATTCAATGCATTTCATAGTTCCCAAGGCAGTAGAGTAATATCACCATCCCTCGGATTGTTCCAATACAGAACCGAACTATGTAACATTTCTCCTCACCTTTACATCTTCTTTATCTTCCCATCACCGCCATTCTATTTGTCCTCACTATTTTCTCGATCATCCTAAGCTCTCCCCTCTCCAATCTCATAAACCAGAAGATCACGGCTAGCCCTCACGCTTATGAAGACTTCTTCAATATTTCTGGGTTCTGACCATATGATAGCATCAACCTTTTTTTGAATATTATTACTTTTATCTATTCCCCATTGTCATTATCTCTAAGTTCCATCGGATGGGCTTGAATAGCAATGGCCTTCTCCAAAGAGCTTTCCGTTAACTTAACAGGCTGCTGGAAAGCTCTTTGTTGGAAGCCATTTATATTCAAGCACAGTTTATGAAACTTAGAGAATTGACAATAGGGAATAGATAAGGTTATTAGCATTCAAATGGTTGATGCTATCATACAGTCAGAATCCAAGAAATCTTATACTCGAACGAGCCTATATAGTTTAGCATTTTATAATCATGCACATGGATTTATTGTCAAGTATATCGTTACAAATGTTAAGGTCATGGTTTTGATGTTAAGGTTATTATTTGGTTGCTAGGTTTATCGATTGAATGTTATGTTTACTGTTAGGTCTCTTACTGTTATTCACTTGCGCTTGGTTGTCACGGTCACCAGAGTATATTCTCTGCTACTGCATTCAATGTTCCTCCTAGTTCCCAAGGAGGAGAGTTAATATAACCTGGGCTCCTACCCTTCGCCTGTTCAACTACAGGATAGCGCAGATATCCTTTTGGCGCAATCTTTCCTCGATCTCCCCATCGCCGGCTCTCTGTTGACCCTCTATCATTTAATCTGAAGCCCGAGCTACCCTCTCCCCAAAACCTACAAGTTCTCCTTTCGCCATTAAAACCAGAAGATCAACGCTAGTATTCACGCCGATGAAGGTCATGGAGACAAGGTTTGCGCACACTGATGAAGATCTTGGGTATCCCTCACGCTGATGAAGACGTTATCTCCTTATGTGTTTGCTCTTAGTTCCATTAGCTGTGGGTGAATACATGTGGCTCTTTTTAATGAGCTTGTACAATAACAAGATAGTTAAGATTGATAGGTACGTGGAATACAATCAATTCAGATGGGTCATGCGTGAATCACATGGGAAGGCATGCGAATGCTGGTGGAGATAGTCCTTCGGCTTACGTTAACACTATATAGCTATACAAAGTAAACGTAAGCCAGAAGACTATCTCCAACAGCATTTGCATGCCTTCCTAGGTGATTCAAGCATTGATCCAGCTGAATTTATTATATTCCACGCACCTATAAATCTTAACTATCTTGTTATTGAACAAGTTCATTGAAGGGAGCCAGTTATATTCACCCACGGTTATGGAACTTAGAGTAGAGACAATGGTAATACATGCAGTAGTCATCGTGTATTCAAGCTTATTTGTTTAGTTTACGGGGTTGTTGATAAGCTTATTTGTTTGTTTTAAGGTTGTAGCATGATTGTAAAGGAAATTATTTTTTGATACAGGTTGTTTTGTTAAGTTTAACGATTTATCAAAAAATATTATGGACTCGCTGTCACCTTTATTGACTGGTTGTTAAGTTTACGTGTTTATTGTGAAGTTTGGCGTTGTATTTACAAGCTTTATATATTGGTTGCTAAGGTTAACGCTCTGTTGCCAAGCTTATGGGATGGTTGCTAAGGTTAGCACCTTGTTGTTGCGTTTAGCTCTGTTGTTAGGCTTATTTATTGGTTGTTAAGGTTGTAGCAGTCCTCATTGTTTTGTTAAACTTAGGGAATTGTTGAGAAGATCACGGGGTTGTTGATAAGTTTATTTTTTTGTTAAGATTACGGCGTGGCTGTTAAGCTTATTTTTTTCATTGTTAAGGTTGTAAGCAAGATTGTAAAGAAAGACGTGGCATGATACATGGTTGTATTGTTTGTTAAGGTTGTAAGCAAGATTGTAAAGAAAGACGTGGCATGATACATGGTTGTATTGTTGAGCTTATGATTTTGTTGTTAAGATCATGGACTGGCTGTCAAGGTTATGTGCTGATTGTCAAGCTTATGGATTGGTTGTTAAGGTTAGCGCCCTGTTGTTAAGGTTAGTGCTCTGTTGTCAAGCTTATGTATTGGTTGTTAAGGTTAGCTCTCTGTTATTAAACTTATGGAATGGTAGCTAACATTAGCTCTTTGTTGTAACGCTTAGCTCTGTTGTTAGGCTTATAGGTTAAGAAGATCACGGGGTTGTATTGTTGATCTTATGGTTTTGTTATTAAAGATCATGGATTGGCTTTCAAGGTTATGTGCTGGTTGTCAAACTTATGGACTGGTTGCTAAGGTTAGAGCTCTGTTGTCAAGCTTATGGATTGGTTGATAAGGTTAGCGCTCTGTTATTAAGCTTATGTATTGGTTGCTAAGGTTAGCGTCCTGTTGCTAAGGTCCCTTACTGTTATTCACTTGCACTTGGTTGTCACGGTCACCGAGGTATATTTTCTGCTACTGCATTCAATGTTCCTCCTAGTTCCCAAGGAGGAGAGTTAATATAACCTGGACACCTACCTATCCCTACATTCCACGCGGCAACATCACCATCCCTTCGCCTGTTCAGCTACAGGATAGCGCAGGTATCCTTTTCGGCGCAATCTTTCCTCGATCTCCCCATCATTTATTCTCTGTTGACCCTCTATCATTTAATCTGAACAAAAAGCTACCCTCTCCCCAAAACCTACAAGTTCTCCTTTCGCCATTAAAACCAGAAGATCAACGTTAGTCCTCACGCCGATGAAGGTCATGGCGACGAGGTTTGCACACACTGATGAAGATCTTGGGTATCCCTCACGCTGATGAAGACGTTATCCCCTTATGTGTTTGCTCTTAGTTCCATTAGCGCACTGTGAATGTATGTGGCTTTCTCCAAAGAGTTTGTACATTAACACCCAGTTATGATTGATAGGTGCGTGGAATACAATCAATTCAGATG